AACAAAATCAACCTGCCCACCCACAAAACCAACTGGCCCACCCACAAAACCACTGACCACCAACAAAATCAACCTGCCCACCACAAAACCAACTGGCCCACCCACAAAACCACTGACTACCAACAAAATCAACTGCCCACCAACAAAACCAACTGGCCTACCCAAAAAACCATCTCGACCACCACAAAATCAACTGACCCACCTACAAACAAACTGAACCCACCACAACACTCACTCGCCAGCCCTCAAAACCAACTGGCCCACCAACAAAAACATCTCCCCACCACAAAACCCACTGATCCACCAACAAAACAACTGACCCACCCAAAAACAAACTAGCCCACCACAAAATCAACTGACCCACCCAAAAAAACAACTGGCACACCCTCAAAACCAACTGGCCCACCCACAAAACCAACTAGCCGACCCACAAAACCAGCTGGCCCACCCACAAAACCCACTGACGACCAACAAAATCAACCTGCCCACCAACAAAACCAACTGGCCTACCCAAAAAACCATCTCGCCCAACCACAAAATCAACTAGCCCAACCACAAAACCAACTGACCCAACAACAAAACCAACTAGCCCAACCACAAAACCAACTGGCCCACCAACAAAAGCTAGTTACCCGCCCACAAAACCAACTAGCCCACCAACAAAACCAACTGGCCGACCCACAAAACACAAAATATTGTAGCTTGCCACTGTCTTATGCAGGGGTCGCCTTAAGTTTGACATACGCTCAAACACATACAAATAAATATAAATTATTTAAACTTTCTTAATGCACCAATCATATCTACTTTATACGACGAGATAATAGAAAAAATATCTTAATGTTTTAATTACACAAAAAGAAGATTTATGTTCAAAGTCAGAATTGTTAAGTACTTCAAAATTTGTATGCACAATCCTGCACAGTCTAACTTGCAGATACACATTAACCGGTTAGTTCTTTGCAAGTAAGGCAGAGTGCTTTACCTTCCTGAGCACCTAACGTATGAAATATATGTGCAAAGGTTTTATTTACAATTAAGGTACATACAAAAGAAAGTATGCTACACTGATTTGTAAAGAAAACTACTAGCCTTGTAAAAATAAAAACCTAACGATTGCTTTAAACATAATTCCCGCCCTTGACAGGGCAAATATTTAAGGATTTTTGAGGTGGCCAATGATATTTCTATGTCTCTGCCCTTAGACACGCCTCTGATTCTGATATTTAAAGCACAATCAAGAACAAATCTCCGTCGGCTGGGAAGTGCAAAACAAGCTTATAATGTGTAAAAAACATTTCAAAACTTGAGGACAAATTTACACTTAAATAATCGCCTCAAACTCTAATAAAGTAGCACAACATGGGGGCGCTTGATAGCCTAGTGTTTGTGTTGTACGCCCCATGAACAGAGGCAATAGCTCTCATCACAGCGGCCGGGGTTTGAGTCCAGCCTCGGCCCTTTGCTTCATGTCATCCCTCACTCTCTCCTCCCAGCATTTCCTGTCTTTCCTCAGCTGTCCTATGAAAAAAGGCAAAAGGCCCCAAAAAATATCATTGAAAAAATAAGGAGCACAACATGATATGAAAATGGAAAGACATAGTTTATTGTGAAAAAGTGGGATTAAATAGAAATACAATTTGTTTTGTCTAATTTCTTGTCTAATCTCCAATCTGGTTATACCGCCGTTGTTGTTTGTTGTCTCTACCGTCGTGACTCTGTCAGTTCTGTCTCGTGTCATTTGCTGCCGGTACTTATGAAAAAAAAAGAAACAGGCAGAGACCTGTGTGGTAGGAAATGCTCTTTGATTGCATGTTGAGATAACCAATCAGGTGCGTGTGCAGGAGTGACTTTGATGACCTCGTCACCATCGTCACTTACAAAGTAACTGAGGAGCCTCCTCACATGAGACAGTGTCAAGATGATGGTGCTGTGGATCACACTGCTTCTCCTCCATCAGGCGTGTGAGTGATGAAACTTAATGACTAAATACTTTCTCATGTATGTAAGAGGAAGAGGTGATTCATGGGAAGTCTAATCGTGATAATTGTTGTTGATTGTTTCAATTATTGTCTCTTTTATCTAGATACGCTTCCTCCGGTGACCACAGTTGGACTTGGGGAACCTGTGACTTTAACATGTGTTTTACCGGATATCAAAAGCCAGATAGTCTTCTGGTACAAGCAGAGCGCCGGGGAAAGGCTGAAATTAATGGTGACACTGGGGGGAAATGGAAAACCTCTATTTGAAACAGAGTTCTCTTCTTCATTATTCGATGCTAACATTTCTGAAAATATGAGCAATCTGACCATTTTGACGACGACTCAAGAAGACGAGGGAATGTATCACTGTGCAGCCTTGGAGTGGCCTAAGATTAGCTGGAGTGGAACCTATGTGTCATTAAAAGGTACGTAATAACTGCATCCACTGAAAGCAACATCGTACTAATGTCTCTCAATAGTTAAAAAACGTTATTTAGTGTCAACAAACTATTTTTCTATATTTGTCAAATAAAACAATATATCTTTAAAATTCTTCTGGTTTGTTACTCGTCTTTGTCAAGGTGATGATTTCACTCAGGATATAATAACACTTTTAAAAACGTTCTCATCCTTACATCTTATCATGCCAGAGCTTTATAAATTAAGCTGATACTGTTTGTTACATTAGAACTTCTTAACATTTGCAGGAAACACTGAGAGGACAACAGAGCTGAGAGTCGTTCAGGAGCCGACAGTCTCTGATCAGCTCCGTCCAGGAGACTTGATGTCTCTGCAGTGTTCAGTCCTCTCTGACCCGGACAGTAAAACGTGTCCCGGAGGTCACAGCGTGTTGTGGTTCAGAGCCGGATCACATGAATCTCGTCCAGACATCATCTACACTGCTGGAAACAGACGTGATGGATGTGAGGAGAGATCTGCCTCTCAGAAAAGCTGTGTTCATCACTTCTCTAAGAACATCAGCTCCTCTGATGCTGGGACCTACTACTGTGCTGTGGACACATGTGGACGCCTTTTATTTGGAGATGGGACTAAAGTGGACGTTGGTATGACATCACATAAGCTCATGTAAGAAATATTTTAAAATTTGTTGTTGACATTATAACTGACCAGTGGCTATGTTTGTCTTCCAGCACAATCAACACATTTTGGATTTATCATCATGGTGATTTTAATCGTCTGCTTGGTTATTTCTACTGTTGGAAATGTTTTCCTCCTCTGCAAACAAAAAGCACGTAAACAACATGGAGGTAAGCGCTGTAAACAGATCATAAGAGATTTAAATTTATATGCCGCCTTTCAAGGGATACAAGGATATCCTGATGAACAATAGCTGCGACCAGTGGTGGACAAAGTTCACAAAGTCATGACTTGATTCAAAGTAGAGATCCTCCTGGTCTATTATTCCTCCAATACAAGGGGAAGTTGTTGCGTCAAATCATAACATGAGTTAAAGTTCTGGAGTATGTTGCTTTTAAAAATACTTCAGTATCAAACAACTTTTTAAAGACCTCTCTAAATGTTGTTGTATTTTCACGATGCATGAGCTCAGTCAGGAATACTCTGGTGTTCATTGTGCTAAGTTATGTTTCAAACACACATCTTATATTTATTTTCATCATGTTATTTCTCCTAAAAGGATTGGAGAGCGCTGTTTCAGAAGCCAGAAAAGATAATGCATCACGGCAAGAACACAACACCGTAAGAGATAACATCAAGTAGACAGGATCTTCATTTTCATGTCATTGTGTTTGTAAAACTATTTTATCTTCTGCACAGGCCGATGCTGAGAACAAATTAAACTATGCTGCTCTAAACTTTTCTGCAAGAAAACCAAGAGGAAGAAAGAAGAGAGAGTTTTCTGAGGACAGCGTGTACGCTCAGGTGAAACTCTGATGCTGTTAATAAAGTCGAGCTTAAACTCTAAATCTGCATCATGTAGATTTTATTATTTACTAAACCCACTGGCCATCTATCAAAACCCACTGGCCTTCCATCGGAACCCACGGGCCCACAATCAAAACCTACTGGTCCACCAACAAAACCAGCTGGCCCACCATCAAAACAAACAGGCCTACCCACCAACAAAATCCACTGGCCCCTCAACAAAACCTACTGGCCCACCTACAAAACAAACTGGTGCACAAAGAAAACCAACGGGCCAACCCACAAAGCCTACTGGCCCACCCATAAAAAAACAACTGGCCCACCAACAAAACCCACTGGCCCACCAACAAAACCCACTGGCCCACCAACAAAACCGACTGGCCCACCAACAAAACAAACTGGTGCACAAAGAAAACCAACGGGCCAACCCACAAAGCCTACTGGCCCACCCATAAAAAACCAACTGGCCCACCATCAAAACAAACAGGCCTACCACCAACAAAACCCACTGGCCCACCAACAAAACCCACTGGCCCACCAACAAAACCGACTGGCCCACCCATAAAAAACCCACTGGCCCACCAACAAAACCCACTGGCCCACCAACAAAACCCACTGGCCCACCAACAAAACCCACTGGCCCACCAACAAAACCAACTGGCCCATCAAGGAACCCACTGACTCACTCACAACACCATCTGGTCCTTTACACCTAGTGCTCTAATCGTTAAATTAAATGTGACCATGTTTTTGCTGTATTAGCCCCAACTCTCTGGAATCAAGTCCCACAAACCATCAGCTCTGCAGAATCTTTGGACTGTTTCAAGAAACATCTAAAAACTCAGCTGTACAGCCAAGCCTTCATGTTACTCCCAAACTCTTTCTTGTGCTTCAATTGTTTCTGTTTTTGTCTAATTCTTATTTTGCCCTGTTGGATGTTGTGATTCATTTATGTAATAATGTGCTATGTAAATAAAGTTTTGCCAACTTACTTTTGAGCCGATGAGTCGTTGCCACCAGAACAATGGTTATATAAATTGTTTTTAAAAAGTTATACACAGTCCAGCTCTGATTAAAACAACCAAACAGTAAAGAGACATTTCACACTTCACATAATGTCATGTTGGAAAATATATCCAGCTTACAAAAGAGTTTATTCATAAAAATGAAACAAGGAGCTGGGGTATCACAGCTGGAACCTACAGAGAGGATACCATCAAGGCTATCATCACAAGCAGTTTGGGAATAAGAGAGTCCCTTTTCCTTTTCAGAACCACTAAAATTCATAAAAAGAAAAATGGTTCAGTCGTCTCTGTGTAGTCAAATGGTTCCACAAAGCCAACAGTTTTCATTAAGAACAAAGAAATCTCATCATGTTTACATTTCGTTTGTCAGGTCCAGTACCTTACGTTGAATTGTACCACTTTTAAAAAGATGTCTTATATTGTGATAAATAATACATAAAGAGCAGAGGACATTTGTTTCCATCATAGTCAAAATCGTACATTCAGATTCCATTCAAATGTTTACAATAATGGAGCTCATAAGAGTAAAATGATCTATTCTTGGTCCAACCAGGCCGCTTCTGTCTGTACGTGTCAATAAATCCATTCATAGACTTTCTCCTACACCGGAGTATGTACAATCCAGCGACTGCTCCCTCGCAGCCGTCCATCTTTTAGCTTTCCTAGCTGCAAAATCCAGCGCTACGTAGTTCAGAGCCGCCTCGTCAGCATCCTGTAAAAGATCATTTTGACTTTGAGATGTTTGAGCCAGGATCATAAAATCAATAATATGAAACTGTTTACTACAAACGGTAGACGTTTAGTCAGACTAAAGCTGTTACACAACTGTCACCTTTTATTTATAATAGTGACTCTGACCATGAAGTAGAACTTATTTTAACCTGAACCACAATTTTTTTTACAGCTCTAACCAAACCTTTACCACAGCTACGTAAGATCAGATATAGGACCATGTTTAAACTCTGGAGCTGTCCTGTCCATCGAGGCATTAAATGTACGACGAACAAAGATTTCTGATGTTTAAAGTTGAAGAGCTGTTAAACTTGACTTTGACTCCTAGGTCCTCCTGTAAGCCCTCCTGTCCGCTTGAGGCTGGCTCCAGGAACCCAGGAAGTCACATACACACAACAGGAAAAAAAGCAGTTTTTACAGCATAAATTAACGTGTTTACAGCCTGGCACAAAAAAACCAATAGGTCTGATTAGTCATCACTGGCACACACTGCAAGGGGGGTCCATTTTGATTCTGAAAACAATCCATAGTTAGGCGCTTAGCTGACATGATTGACAGTTGGGCGTGATGTAATGTTCCAGCTCCAGCTCTCAGCCTGTTGTTAGGTTGACTGACAGTTAGGCTGAGACAGCATTTCCAGCATGGTTGGCTGCTGCCGATGGGACTCCAAAGCCCCCTGCAGAAACACTCAGGCTTCGTCCATTAACATTTAGTCTATGGCTAACACTGATAGTCGGACGCGACCTGAGAGCTCACACTGTGCAGGTAAAACTAGAAAGGAACATTTACTGTTGTCAATATAAACTCCCGCAGATGGAGGTTGGTTTTAGTTGTCTCATATGCACGGACATTTCTGCTGTTGCTGATGTCAGAAATTCAATTGAACAGTGATTGGACGTCGTGCCTCATTGAACACTGCAGGACTGACGCCTGGTGATGAGGCTGAAATTTGGCCTAAATTCTAAATGAATTGTACGACTCAAAAATGGGGCCTAAATTGGCCTGAAAAATGGCGGGCTTTAGGGGGTTAAAACTATAGATGACTGATTATACTTAGAAGACATGCATTGAAAATTAAATGTATCTCATCTCTACAGCTGGTGTCGTTATTTTCATAAGTCCTTCTGGTTTTGGCACTCAAATTAAAAAATGCTCCCCCAACACCATCAGTGGATTTACACGTATCCACTGTGCAACAACCACCTGTTCCAACTCACGTTAAGCTGTACAATATATGAAACTTTGATTACATATACCTCGTTATTTGGTTGATCTTCAGCTGATCTGTGACGTTCGCCTTGATTGGACGCAGTTTTTTCTCCTGTTGATAAAAGCGAGAAGTGATGGCATCACAGATACATTTAATATCAAAGACTGTTTAGAAAAGTGTTTGTTCATGAGCAGAGGTGGGAGCAGTCCTTTAAGCGTTAATGTGTTAACAAAGACGTTAACTTCGATATCACTTTATTCTGTTGATTTTTATCTGAAATGAAAATAACGTTAACGTCATAGCCTGTAAATATTAAAGGATGAACCCGGGGGCGCTGGAGTCCCATCGATGGCGGTCCCATCTACCCATCATTTGTTTTTTTGAACCAGGCTGTAAACATGTTAACAGGCTTTTTAGAATGGGTGTGTATGCAACTTCCTGTGCTTCTGCAGCCAGCCTCTAGTGGACACTGGAGGAACTGCAGGATTTTACACTTCAGCATATGCTTTATTTTTTTAACATTGGAGGATGTAGCTTGTGATTAACGAATGTGTGCCCAGCTCTGCTCATGATGACTTTGTTAATGTGTTGAACAACCTGAACTTACCTTTGCACTGTTTACACACGGGCCTTTGGTTTCTGTAGAAAATGAGAGCAGCCGTCACAAACACGCTGTAGGGCAGCAGTGTCCCAAACGTGATGTAAAACGGCCACGGTTCTTGTTCTGAAATGAAAAGATTTAAACCACAGGAGACAGCGCTTAACCTTAAATCGCTTTTACATGATTATAATTTATTAACAGGTGTCAACATATCAAAACTGCTAATGTTCATGCAGATCGAGCTTATTCCCTGAACCTCTTCTAGAAAAACTAAAAGCAATACTGTGCCTAGGCTGAAATCATAACTATTATTATCACGAGGAAGTCTCAAGGCTTGTTCATAAACTGTCTGAACAGAGGTATAAACAGAGGTATGAACAGAGGTATAAACAGAGGTATGAACAGAGGTATAAACAGAGGTATAAACAGAGGTATGAACAGAGGTATGAACAGAGGTATGAACAGAGGTATAAACAGAGGTATGAACAGAGGTATAAACAGAGGTATGAACAGAGGTATGAACAGAGGTATGAACAGAGGTATGAACAGAGGTATGAACAGAGGTATGAACAGAGGTATGAACAGAGGTGCTCAGGCTTTGATGGGACAAAAAGGAGTGCAGGAAAAGGACTTTTCAACGGTCTGCTTCTGTCGCCCTTACACACACTAACAGTTGTTCTTAACCTTTGTGGCTTGTAACAGTCGGTATGAAATGTGCAGAAGAGTCGCTGCATCACAAACAGACGGCTGTTAGAAGTTGAAGAAGATCTTACGGCCTGTAGAGATTTCAAAAACTGTATTTCAGCAGAATAAGGCCAAAAAAAAAACTTTGTGGGGCGCTGGTGGTGCAGTGGTTAGTGCGCGCTCCCCATGTATGGAGGCTGTCGTCTCAAGCGGGCGGCCCGGGTTCACATCCCACCTGTGGCCTCTTTCCCGCATGTCATTCCCTCTCTCTCTCTCTCTCTCTCTCTCTCTCTCTCTCTCCTGATTTCCGACTCTATCCACTCTATCTCTCCATTAAAGGCATAAAAACCTCAAAAATAAATTTAAAAAAAACTTAAAAAAAACTTTGTGAAAGTATCATGGAGATGTTTTTCTTGCACAGTTCCTGAAGGCAACATAACAATACATGCATGATGACTTAAATTAGAATATAAAACATACGTGTCTTCACTGTAGTTCCTTCACCAAACAGGATTTGTCCACATGTGAGCACAGCGCAGTAGTACGTCCCGGCGTCAGACGAGTTGTGTATGGTTTTGGACAGATTGTAGACACAGCTTCTCTTCTCTTCTTCTTCACTTCTGTGGCTTTGAGTGTAAATAACAGCTGGATGAGCTTCTCCTGCTGCAGCTCTGAACCAGTACACACTGTGTTCACCTGGACACTGCTCTCTGTTTTCTTTGGACTTGGAGAGAAGTGAACACTGGAGCTTCACTGAGCCGCCCGCCTGGACCGACTGCGCCTCCGGTCTTTGTTTCACATAGACCAGGTTCTGGTGGTTTTTATGATCTGTGTGAGTCACAGTGAAGCAGGAATTAGCTCATGATATTTGGGGCACAGATGCAGACAAAGAAAAACTGTAATGAGCATACTTTACCATTCACCGCTAAGAGAGTGCTGTTAATAACCTTCATTTCGTACGCCGTTCCAGCTTGACAGAAGTACGTTGCTTCATCTTCTTTGCTTACATTTCTGATGTTGAGAAAATACAGATTCTCCTTGACTGTGACAGTGTGTCGAGAGTTTTTAAATTGTTCTCCAACTTTTACGTTTCCAAAATTTCCTGCCGCAACCGTTTGGACCATGTATCCGAACTTGAGCTTAAACCAGTAAAACAATCCGGCTTTCAGACCGGTGATTGAACATGTCAGGTTAAAATCCTCACCAGGTTCAACCACAGTCATAGAGATCTGGTGCTGCATGTCCACAGTTTGAGCTGAAGACAGGAGAGAAAAATCACATCAGATGTTATGAGACGGCAGCAGAAAGCGTGTCAGGGTTAGATCATTGATCTCAAATGTTTCATGTTCTCATTTGTTTCAGAAAGTCGAGAAGAGTCGTACTTACACAAAGCACTGAGAAGAATCAAAGCAGCAAATCTTCCGACCATTGTGCTACAGCACCCTTCTTGCACAACTGAAGTCTCCCACACAGATGTCAGACTAAGATTAAGATTAAGGTTTTCCAAAGAGCAAATCATACTGATTGGCTAACACAGAAAATGCACTTCCTGTTCTAATGTTGCAACCAAGTGACCCATTTCAGCTGATCTACCATCGAGAGCTGTTTGTGTTTCTAACTGGCAGAGCGGCCTTATATTTCTGAAGTTATATTCTAACATGATCAACACTTTAAAACTAAATACGATGACATCAATGTGGATGTTTCTGTAGGATGTTCAATGTGTGACACTTTAACACACAAAGATGCTTTTCAGATTAAGCTCCAAATAAGCCTTTGGTTGGGCATGTTGCTTTTTAATCTGTAATTAAAGCACCTATTATAGCTGTCATGCAACGTCACACATGGGCGGGCATGAAAGGCTTCCAGAGAAGTATTCAGTCTCAGTGTCCAAGTACGTGTTTGAACTAATTTTATGTGTTAAAGGTGACATATCCTCCTCCTCCTCTTCAGTTTAAATAAGTCTCAGAGCTCCTCAAAACATGTGTGTGAAGTTTCTTGTTCTAAATCCACTCTGATCCTGTATTTGATCATGTCTATAAACCCCTCTATTTCAGCCCTGCTCAGAACAGGCTGTTTCTGTGTCTGTACCTTTAAATGTAAAACTAAATCCTTCATGAAGCTGTTCTAAAAAAAGATGTGATGAGTCTATTCTTAGATTTTACTGACCCTCTTGTTCTCCAGCCTTCACCTGGTCCATGACGCAAATGTCTGACGCCATCCTTTGAACTGTGCACAGATCTTGAGCCATGTGCACTCTGACTAACGGGTCTATTTCCTTTGCAGTCAAGCATTTACAGTAAAGTTAATCTTCAGATGAAACCACATGTTCTTTAACACTTCTTTGAAGGTGAGAAAAGGGTGCAGCTCAGATTACACTTGAAGGAGACTGACTGCTGAAGACCTGCTAAAATATATTCTACAGCTACACCTTAACTTAGATGGATGGATGGATGGATGGATAGATAGATAGATAGATGGATAGATAGATAGATAGATAGATAGATAGATAGATAGATAGATAGATAGATAGATGTATTTGAAAACATGTAAACACATACATGACAGGCCGATCATATCAGGCTGCATATAAGAAAAATAGATTGTCAAGGACCAAAATACACAAAAAAGCCAGAGGGCTTATTTCCATTGTGGTCCTCTATCACAGTACAAGATGGCAGATCGAATAAGGTGTCAGGCAAGTGACCTTAAATGGTTGATGATGTGTTTAAGGGTATAAAGCTGAGGAAAATAATAGCTGTTATCATGTTTGATTTCTCTGCAGCTTTTGATATAATTGTGTGTAAATGTTATGGTTTTTGTCAAATTACATTATCATGGATGACTCGTTATGTGAAGCTGAAGAGGATCGGTGTTAGCACTCACACCGGGGACAGTGGACGCAATGGGACCAGGTACCTGAACGTCCACTTTCTTGGAAAGATCTCTTGGGTACAGATCAAGGCAGGCTTCGTGCTTTGGCAGACCTTTTGACAAACACTCGTTACCTCAGGGTTAAGATTCTTCCTGCAAGTAGTGTGAAGCAGCTCTTTGTAACCCTGAAACACAAACTGGATCAATCAACCAATCTTTATTTGTTTAGCGACAATTCATAACAAGTGTTATCTCGAGACACTTTACAAAAGAGCAGATACAAGACCTGTGGAATCTTATATTCTTTATACTTTTATGTTTGCTCATTAACTGATCCAATGCATTACACATAGCATTACACATATCACGTATACATGCACCGTGTCCTTATATGACCACTGCAACACACGAACCTTGCACGATACTCACCTCACCACAGGTGTTTTATCTCACGTACACAGACTCAACAACAGCTCCTTATAAGGACTATTTTTTAAACTCTCAAGGACAAGTTACTGCTACATTCACATATTTATACACTGACCACAAGGTGCTGACACAGATAAAGCTGCACCTGTTTCTTTGATCCTCCTCTGTAAGTTTCGATCACACTATATGCTCAAGTATATAAAGATTGTACGCCCCAAGAGCGGGCAGAGAACTTACTTTGTGTATCCTGTACTCATAGCTGAACTTCTCTCCATGCTGCATGTAATAAACTGGTTGACTTAGCAACTCAACAGTTTCTGAAAGTCTCTTTTATTTACTCTCGTCCCAAGGTTCGGAGGGTTTTCTCTTTCTGCTGATTTTCTGCAGGCCCAGTTCTACCACAGACCTTACTCATTGCTATATTACAAAGACCAAGCGTAAACCATCATGAGCACTTAGCAACATTTAGCAAAAGTTACAGTGGAGAGGAAAAAACTTCCTTTAAACAGGCAGATATCTTGGGAAAATCCAAACTCACTCAACAGCCATCTACCCAAACTGTGCCAGGCTTAAAAATGGGATGGGGGAGATGGGATAAGATGCAGGAAGAAGGATAGGGACAAATGGGGGGGCTTCGTTGTTCAGGCAGGCCGTCCACCAACAATCCCGAGGAAACTACCAGAGCTCAGGAGCTCCCAGGATGTACCAAGACACTGGGAGAGACCGGTACAGGTGGAGACACGACAAGGTCCTTACCAAAACTGAAACTGGATGGAACTGAAGAGGATCAAAACCATTAGCTAAAACAATCACTTTCCAAAAGGAAGGCAACAGGGCGCCTAGTGTAAGAACAGTGGCCAGGTATCCACCCTCCATTATGCATCGAGTGACTGACTGGGAGATGTAAGTAGACCTGAAGAGGGGTCTGGTCTTCCCAGAGGAGGTGGCAGCATCATCACTGACTAGTTCTGCCATCCAAGGCTACAAAAACCGTCTTGGTGGCTGAACTTACAGATCCCTGGGAGGACGGGCTCGCCATCTCTCACCAGCTACTGACTTGATGGATGAGGCTCTTATCAAGGCGTGGCATAAAGGCTTTTCCATATCGGGGCGAGCTGTGGCGGCGCCAGAAAAAGGAACCAGTGGGGTAGGGCGCGCGCCGTCCAACGGAGAAAAAGTAAGCAAGTAAGTAAAAGTAAGTGGAAATTGGGGGTCAGTCTTTGCAGTCCTGGGGTACAGTGGTACATTGGGCCTTTTGTTTGAACATCTTAATCTTCTATTGTTTCTTTTTTTTAGTTATTGTACATGTGCAATATGTTGTTATAATGGGTTTTGTGATAAACAATGTGACATGTGGTCGTTCTGTGTTTATATTAAAGATGTATTGAACAAATCCACCGTTGCATCAGCTCATGAGGAATACATGTAAAGTTCCTAGTGTGTGTGTTTTGAGGCGACCTTCTGAAAGAGGGAGCTTGAAATGAAAACACACAGAGGTGTTCTGGTTCACACCTCAAAGCACATCAGGAAGCCTACATGTGTGCTCTGATGATTAAAGCTCACTGTGCCCACGCCTTGTTTGTTTGGCCTAACCACTTCAGAGCCGTCGTGTTTTCATCTCAGGAAGCAAGAGAAAGGAGAGACGCTGCCAACCTGTCACATACATACTGCACCGCTCTCAAGTCACCCAGCTACTACTCAAAGAATAAAGACCCGAGTTCATGATTCATGAAAGCAAATGACCATGATGAAAGTATAAGTCTGATCTGTAGTTTCAAATCAAGATGAACTCATCGAGTACACAGAGTAAGTTAAATAAATTCAAAGAGGATCACAGTATAGCACAAAGCCATCCAAATGACCACGATGATGCACTTCTACACCGCCATCTACACCGCCACCCTCTCCTCCGTCACAGTTTTATTCTATATCAGTTCCCTGTCAGCAGGACTTTTAAAGTTTCTTACTATTGTTACTTCAGTCCTAACTGTTTTGCACCACTTCCACGTCATCTTTTTTACGTCATGTCTTACCTCAGCAGACCCCTGCCACTCCTTCCGTCTGACAGGGATAGTCTCCCTCTGTGAAGTGCATGTGTGAACAAGCAGGTCAGGAGGATTTCAGGAGCAGTGCATGTGTGATAACGGCTTCAGTCAAATCATTTCAAAGTCTGTTGTGTGAGGAGCAAGTGTCAAACTGTGCTTGATAGGAATCACCGTATGGCAACCAAGACAAGTCAAACAAGAGCACAGTATAGTAGAAAGTCGTCCAAATTAACGTTTCATGTTTTTATGTTTAACCGGGCATATCTCACCAAATTCTCCTTTAAGTGACTCATTTGTGTGGCACGAGAGGTATGAGCGGCGTTCTTCAGCTGAATAAAATAAAGCAGTTTAAACCTCAGAGCAGTTTTATTTGTTATATGGATAGAAAATAGAAAGACACAGACGTGGACGCTCTGTGCACAGCACTGTCAGTCCTTATATCTTGTTCAGATGATGGCAGGAAACATCATCATGACAGCAAATGAGAAGATTCACCGCACACGAGAGGGCTGAATGACTTCTTCTTTGTATTGACTCACATTCTTAAACAAACGACACGTGCAGAAAAAAAACGCTGAGGGGTCCAAACACATTGTTTGTGTGCGGTGAATCTTCACTTTTGCTGTTAAATTAAAAAAGACTTTCTTCAGAAATGCTAAAATTAGATGTTCCACATGTTGGTGTACAACTGTTGTTTTTTTCCGAAGCCCTGTGGTCTTTGCAAAGCTTGTGAAACAGCGAGAAAGACCCACAGGCTGAGTCGTGAAATGTAGAGGCTGCGGTTGGCCGTTTGTCTGCTTTTACCAGACCACCAAGCATGTTTACTCAGAGTGTACGAGAAACATGGCATCAACAGGATATGTAGCTAGGGGACAGGAGGTCTGAGCAGGCTAAATTTAGCAAAGACGGTTCACTTGAGAGTTTTCACTTCTGACTTCCTGGATGTTCAATCTTTTAGATCAGTCAGCCTTTAAATGGTAAATCACCTTCCATGCTTTGATAAAAATGTTTGATTTTGGATATTACTCATTTTATCTGCCATGCACATAATAAAACTTTTCATCAACAGAGAGCTGCTCAATAAAATAAATATAACAGGTGAACCAAAGGATGCAGCTGCTCTCTCTCTCTCTCTCTCTCTCTCTCTCTCTCTCTCTCTCTCTCTCTCTCTCTCTCTCTCTGTCTCTCTGTCTCTCTCTCTC